CGGCAAACAAACCGCATATCGTTATCCGGTATTGTGTGTACTTGTAGATGTTGCTGTGCCGCGCGATCAAAACATCGTAGGCAGACAAACGTCTTTAATACAAGAGTTTGGAAATCGGGATTAGCCTAATTTAGAGCGTGAAAGCACAGGTCGTTCTGACAGTAATCGGAGCAGTGGTATTTGTTCTGAAAAAAGTGTATAAGAACTTGACAAAACTCACTGACCATTCTAAAAACTGGGAAGGGCAAAACATTGCCTTAACAGCCCACATTTTGCCCAAAGTATTGTAGAGATACCTAAAATCCCTAGATCTGCTCCTGAGGAAGCTGGTTGCAACCCAGAGTACATTTTATAATCAACCGACTCATAATATCTGTAGTCTTGAATTAGAGGAACAATAATAATAATAATAATAATAATAATAATAATAATAATAATAATAATAATAATAAACTCACCTACGTGATGCAATGACGGTTATTAACACGATACTTTTCCATTATTTTTTAGTCTTCTTTAGAGAATAACTTTTGTGGACTTCTAGGAGGTAAAATCGTGAATTGTATCTTCAAAATCAATTTCCGTCAAAATGTCATGTTCAATACTCATCAAACGCAAATTATTTAATCGTAGTTGCGTCATGCAATTTCGTAACTCGTCTTCATTATCTTCAACGAAATCCATATGCATTGGTCACAAATCAAGTGAGGAAAATTCTCATAGCAATTTTATTGGGACTGCTGATTACATATTTTCATTATTCATGTAACTGTACGAGTTTTGAATATTGGTATTTTTTCATTATCTCCAGCATGTTCTTGGAAATATTTTATTATTATTTAGATATACAGAAAAATGGTGACATTCAGATATTGGATCTGCAGTAATCAAGTCTCCACTATAAAAATTTGCAAGGTTTTCGGAATATTTTGAAATTTACGATTTCTCTAACTCATGCAAACTTTCCAAATAACCAAACCTGTCAACAATGTTTACGTACTTCTGAGTTCTAGACGAGAAACCAGAGTGTCTATTATTGGTAGGAATGTTTCTACTCTAAACTTTTCTCTTCCCAGACGTTCATTAGCCCTACTCCACCCACTATCTGCCAATGCAAGAATGGAGCTACGTTTTAATTGACGTATTTGTGTATCACGATATTCTTTCACAACTGATTTCGCTTTTGATTTGGACTCATAGTCGTCAAAATCCTCTCTCTTCTCCCCAATAAATTCTGTTAATGACTTCGGCATCTTAAATGCTACAAACAAATTTACTTTTACACTACGAAGTAGTTTACTTGTTGCGTAACATCTACTCAGGATTTCTTTCCACAATATTGTTAAAAAAACTGTTTCAAGTTTATCAAGTTTTTTTTCTCTAATCCTTGAGACTTAAGACATGTCTCTGACGATTGATTTGTCACATCATGCCTTATGGACTGAAGACATAATCTGATTTCATTATATCCTTCACAAAAAGCATTTGCTGCATCTGCGTGCGCAGACCACCTAGTATCTGAAAGTTGGTTCATCACTTTATGATGAAGATCTAAATATGAACAAAATATCTCCCAGCTGTGTGTTGACGATGCGACGGTGTAAAGATTTTGTACCAAATCAAAGTAAATTGTCACAGCTAAGACACACTTGACAGCATGTACCCCTATTAAATTGAGTGAGTGTCCAGCACGTAGTACAGGCTCAGCATACTTATTTAGCTTTTGTTATCTTCGCTGGTAACCCTGAGCATCGCCCTGAAATGTTTGTTTCATTGTCATAAGATTGGCCCCTACAATTCAGGATATCTATTTTATTGTTTTTGAAGAAGTATGTCACAATGTCAGTAAATTGTTCTGCATTATGGCCATGAATGGGAATGAACTGCAAAGATTTGGAACAGCGTGTCATATATACTACTATACAAGTTAGTTGATGAGTCACGGAGTTGAACCGACAGGAAGAGCGTAGTATTTTGCATTTTGAATTTCCGGATTGATTACTGAAAGAACTTTACTTCCCATTATTTCTACGAACTCTTCACAAATAGTGGATGATAAGTATGATGACATCACTTTTCCTGCATTACCATATTTCTTCATGTGTTCGTGTAAGAACGAGTCCAAACTGACTTCTAAGTTTCAAAATACCCAAATAATTTCCATTTTTTACTGAACCAATTATTTGATCAGAACCCCTTAAAGGGCATCCTCTCGATGCTAAGAATTTAATTACTGTAGTAACTCTTTTCAACACCTTTTCCCAGCATTGTCACCCATTATTATACGGGGTGATCAACTGTGTATCTACTCACCTGAATGGTTTTGATCGACTACAATAAGCTACCCTTCAAATCCTATGTTATTGGCTACTTCCGTGTTCTGATACAGCTTTCACAGCATGTTTCCAGTTATTAAATCCATCTCTGCTAAATGGAAATTTGGAGTGAGAAAATAATTTGCACGCATAATAAAAAAAACACTTTCTCTTCGCAAATGAGTATATGACCCATTCTCGCTGTACAATTTCTTTGTTTGGCAATTGTTGTGAGAACATTGCTTGAGTAAGTCATCTTTCTTCCATACTATTTCCAGTTTTATATTTAGGGGTCGATTTAGCAAAATTATTTTCTTTATATTGACATGCGAAGGTCCTTTTTCTACCCAATAATCCCATAAGTTGTCATCAGTATGTGGCCAAAAAGCACAGTCTGTCACCTGCTCTTGAAGATCTTCTTCATTGTACGTCATAAAATCTTAACGATCTAGCTCACTATTTGTTACTTCTAATCGTTTCTGTAAGTTTTTTTTTCTGTGAACTCGATGTTGATGGGTCAGGAATGTGATTTATCGGTACATTATCATAAGAAGCATTATCCTTTTTGTTGACAGTATAATTGAAATAATTAGTTAGTTTCGGGATTCTCTTCACATTCGCATATTCATATCTCAAGTTGACAATGACTTGACAATGCTCTCGTGGCACAGTGGCGAACTCGCCTGCCTTTCACCACTGATTCGTTCGATTCCAATTACAATCCCCGTACAACATCATGAGAAATTTGTTACGACAAAACAAGATTGCATGCTTGGATGATTTGTGGTGACTAAAAAATAACATGAATGCTTCTTGGCAAGCAAAGTGGTTTGAATATATTCCCATATTTCCTATGTGAATGGGACAGTAGGGCACGACATCAGCATTTGGACTAGAAAGAATTGGCCCGTAAGAAAATCCTGAAGGGAGAAACTAACATTCTACGGAAACATCTGGTAGATCAACACAAAATTCTGTTGCCTCCATTGCACATAAAATTAGGCCACATGAAACAATTTGTGAAGGTGTTACCTAAACATGAGCAGTGTTTCGAATCTTTGTGAAAAGTTTCCGCAATTGTATGAAGAAAAATTAAGAGATCTTCGTTGGGCCCCATATTTTAAAAAATGTTTCATACCCAATTTGAAGTATGACAGAAAATGAAAAGAAGAGTGGATTGCATTTAAACACGTTGTAAATACGTTCCTAGGCCACAAAAAATACCCAAACTATCAAAAAATTGTTGCCAATATACTAGATGCTTTAAAAAATTGGGATGTTTAATGAACCTCCAAGTTCACTTTTTAAACATTTACAATTCTTTAAAGGCAATTTAGGTTGTGTAAGTGAAGAACGAGGTGAGCGTTTTTATCTAGACCTAAACATGATGGGTAAACGTTCAGGGACAGGAACATCAACATGGTGGGAGATTACTGTTGCTCACTTCACTGAGAGTCGGCAAATGGCGCATAGAAGAAAAGCTATATTAGGAGCTTTAAAGAAACGATACATAAAAAATATAAGTCAATGAAAACGTAAAGCCTTTGTAGAATGTAATGTTAAGAATATAAAGCCATCATCTGTTTAAATACAGTTCTGTTGCAGTAGCGTAACGAAATGAGTGCGGACCCGCCCGCAAATAAAATATCCCGTTTATAAAAGTGTCAAGCTAACACAAGTATTGTTAATACCTAAAATAAAAATATCCTCTAAAAACGGGCCCTCTTTTGTAATAACTTAAAAAGTCAAATTCAAACCAAGCACGCATTGCGGGCCCGAACGTTACGCTGTTCTGTTGGTATTTTAAAAGTGGCATACTTTTAATTTTCATTGCGCCAGTTTATTTCCCCATATATTACTAGACTGAATTGTAACTTAACTGTTGGGGATGGAAACAAACCGTTCCGATACGGATTCAGCATCCCAAAAAGTATAAAAATCAGCTATCAAGATTTAAAGTTTTTTGAAACCATTATTTTGCATATGTTATTATCTCACAAATGGCTCCACATTTTTTTAATCTCCCTCCCCCCGTATGTAGCAAAGAACGGTTAAGTAGGTACGGGTTCCATTTTTGGCGCACTATGTATTTTCGAAAATTGGAAAACATTCTGATGGAAAATCAAATTTCCCGCGCTGTCGGTTTGCAAAATGGCAACACGGCGGTTTCAAATTATATTCAAATGCTTCTCATTGTCGCCGGTCGTGATGATAGTATGATAAAGATAAAATTCTTACGCAAGGAAATAGATTATGAAATGTAATATATTTAACGTACAACTAACGAATAAATTTCTTTTATTTAAGAAGTTTTGATCACTGATTATGGTATTCAGAAATTGTTAGCTCACTTCCCTGTAATCAAGGCAAGATATTGTCAAATATTTTTTTTCTTTTTTGTATAATTTACTGTAAATACTGTATCAGTTAAATTATTCATGTTTGTTTTATTAGAAAAAACAAGAAATGAGTACTGTTCGTGTCTATCGAAATAAATTCTGATATGCACCACAGACACATTGTTTGAATTGGATTTTAACAGTCTTTAACACGGCGTTATAACAGTCTTTAGCACGGCGGAAATTACAATAGTTCCACATTACATAACTACTTCCAGTAATACAGAGTAAGTGTCGTAGCACCATTAGTTTAATGTAAAATATTTAAGTTTAAAACAATAAAAGTGCAATTTCACTTAATTTTTAATACAATTTTATTTATAAACTTAAATACAGAATTTGTTTCATCTATATCACATTCATTCATCAACAGTATTACAACATGCATACAAATATAATAAAAGTTACAACTAACTGTTTGGATTTCTTCACTCTACTTGTTATTTGAGACAACCTGAAACAAACAAAAACTATCATCCCAAAATGATCACAATACAAACTCTGTAAATAAAAAATGATTAAAACTTACCAGCTATGAAGATTCTAACGAAATTCCTCTTTCCTTGGTAAGAATTTCTAATCTTTTCCGCGTTGCATTGGTAAGATTCTCATATGAAATAACCGATTTGGACTTCTTAACAAATTCAACTGCTTCCTCTATCTTTCCATTTGTTACTGTGAACCAAGAAAATATACTCTTAAATTATACAAAATAATACACACAAGATCTTTGCTATGTGATTTCTCTGATCAAATGCCCTATAATACATTCTTTCGAAAATAACGTTAAATATTAACAAATGGATTCGGCAGACCAGGAAATTATTTAACAAAAGGTGAAATTTCATTTCAATCTCCCTTACACATTTTGAAATAAAAAGTATTGAAAATTGTTGTGATATTAAAAACTAATGCTACAACAATATTCCATACCTTTTCACATTACTAGTAATAGATAAGTAATATTATAATATTGCAACTTCTGTCCTGCGAACACTTCAGATATCACTCCCCCCCCCCCAACCAAACCAAGTGGAAGACGTTCACATAAAAACAACTTTAATATTTTGAAAATTCAAAGACAAACATCTTTAATATTTTGAAAATTCAAACGTTTAAATGAAAATGGCCTTTTGTCACAAACGTTCTTTGTTCTTTTTTCTAAAAACAAATGTCATGGAAAAAATTTGCCCAGGATGGGATTTCACCTTAAGCGCTAAAGATGACAAAGCCAAAAGCATGCCCTATTGCATTAAAATGCAATAATGAATTCTTAATATAGGGGTAATTCCCGCAAACTATAACTCAAAATTACGCCAACACCACCACTAATATTTTATTTTTAAGAACGTGAAATTACTTCAAGATCTAATACTGAATAATAGATTGCATTAAGATAGAAATCTCTTGCTTCGATATTGTTGTAGAAAAGTAATAAAAAAATTGAAATTCAATTTTCATTATTCCGAGATTTTTTAATTCTTATTGATTTGGTACAGTCAGTACCGCCAAATCTAATCGCAAAATCTAAATGTGCATGCACGATTTGGCTTAATTCATTTGGTACACTGGCGGATTGCCAGAGAAATTTTTTAACTGAGGGATATTTTCTTGTTTATTTTGTAGTTTTTTCTGTGTTCTGATATTGTTATTTGTGTGCATTCAGTTTTGTGTAAAGTTTTTCTCGTGTGCACGAGTGAAACAAAGCTAGATGTCCGACCACGAAATTGATAACAAAAGCGAATCACTCAGCATTTCGCAGGAGCGGTCTGAGATATTTGCGATGAGGCTTTAACGCCGAATCAGAAGGCAAAATTTGTGGAAATTCAGGAACCTACGGCAAATCAGCTTGCCGGCAAAGAAAATAAATTAACAGAGTATGGAAGAGGAACGTGCGGCGAATTAGCTCGCCGATAAATTAGCGGATAGTCAGGAACAGACGGCAAATCAGATTGCCGATCTGAAATCGCAGTGTACAGAGCAGATTAGCGGTCTCAGTGCACAGACAAGCGAGCGCGTGAGAGCAGAAGTTGCAGCGCAGTGCTTCGACTGCGCGTTTAGACGAGCACATCGCAATTTACGCTAGGGAACCCGCGGTAATTTCCGCACGGATCGGTGCCGTCGCCGACCGATTACACGAAACTATCGAGAGCAATAACGCTCGATGCTCAGCTTGCGAGGCGCAGGTCGAGACTAAATTCAATGAGCAACATTGCAAAATTCGCAACCAGCATGCGCACGTAAATTCAGCGATTCAGGAAACCGCGGGAAAGGTCGCAGATTGTGGGACGGGTTAAATAACTCCGTAGTCGAAGTAGAGAAAAAGGGCGACGCGAACTGTAAGAAAATTGTGAGATTGGATGGAAAAGTAAGCGCGGAGACTGCAAAGCTGGACGGGGGCCTGACCGACCTGAGCGACAACCGACGAGCCGATTGAGAAACAGAGTGCGGGGATGCTACAAATAATCCGCGAGAATGTTAGCGAATTGCGCGAGAAAATGCAAACACGTTAGGGAACGTGTTCCAACGGTCAGGGCGGAATAATTCCTTTTTCGCACCGCAAAATCTCGTTTTTTTCGGAGCGAAGGCGCGCATTCGTGAGAGATTTTACGGCGTCTTGAAGGCTACTTCACGCTATCGAACTCCGTGCCCGCGAGGCTCACGGCGAAATTCAAGGAAAAGTTTTTAAAACGCTTCTGGGAAAAGGAAACAAAAGTCACGCATGGCGGCGCCTTATGAAAAAAACGGTGGTTTACCAAGATGGGAGTCTTCTATTCAGATTACGCTATCGGAAAGATAGTTGCGTTCCGTTTGTGCTACCCATCAATTTCTGATAACCGGCTTATCTGGATTATCACATCTCACTTTTCGGAGCGAATTCAAAACTCGCTAAACAGCGCACGTCTTCAAAATATTCTTGAATTTGAAGGCTTATTAGGGAAACCGATCAGGCGCGAAATCAGGGGGCAATGAAGCCGAGAATGGACGGCCACCACCACAGGAGAATCAGCGATGGGCACGTCGTGAGGGCGATGGTCGCAGGTGGAGAAAGGCAACGCCGTGACGAGCCTCGGATTAGCGCCAAACGCGCACAAAGGATAACGGACAGAAGACCGGAAAACCAAGCTCGTCTGAAACAGGTAGGCATCGGACCTTCGGACTAAATGCAGGTGCGGTAGATACCACTCATTAGGACCGTTGTAAACGACGAAACAATTGAAGAGGAAGTGGACCGAGGTGTCAATCACGTCAGGGCAAGAAAATGCCCGATTAATGCAGCAGAGTGTGAAGGAATGCCAGTCGATATTTTAATCGATTAAGGAAGCGACGTTTCAGCCATTTCGGAAAAATTTAATCTAAAACTAAAAAGTGAACTCACAAATTTGCCCATTTTTTCCCTTCTAAAAACGTACGTGATTGGAGCTGATAAGAGAAGCCACCCCATTACGGAACAAGTATTAATTATTATTAGCCACGGATCATTTCAGTTGGATGCCACATGTCTAGTCTGAAATTTATCCTACGAGCTAATTTTAGGTGTTGATTTTTTGCGTGAGCTTATCGTTTGTATAGATTTTAAAGAGAATGTGCTCAGTTTCGACCCGCTGTATTTACTGTCGTTCACCGGCGAAACTAGTGAATTGATCGCTTATGAGTTCCGGATCAACAATTTTAACTAGGGGCGAGATACAATAATGTATCACACAATCTATTGATCGCAATCACTGTCTAACTGCAGCCGAGAATGATGCATTGAGGGACTTGTTGCAAAGTTAATTTTGAATTTTTTCAGCGGCCAATGGAACCCATGAAAGGTATTCTCTTTCGCATTCAGCTAACTGACCACTCACTATTTAAATGTAGAAACTATCCTGTTCCATTTGCTTTGAGGGAAGAAGTAAATAAGACGGTTTCAGACATGATTGCAGAAGGAATTATTAAGAGGGCTTCTACGCCATTTGTTAATCCCCCGGAAATAGTGAGAAAAAAGGATGGAGGTGTTCGCATATGTCTCGATGCTAGAAGGCTCAACCAGGTTACTATCCCAGATCACGATTCAGACGTACCAATCTATGTCACTTTAGGGAAATTTCATGTAGTGAAGTATTTTTCGGCTATTCATTTTGTTTCTTCTTACTGGAAAATCGCAATTCATCCCGTTGACCAGAAATGCACTGGATTTTTATACAACGGTTTAAGCAATGTTTGGTGTCGCACTCCTTTCGGACCCCGCACTTTATGAGCGTATTTTATCAAGTGCCTAGTTTAGAAACTGCCGGATCATGTGAAGTAATTTATTGAGTTGTTTGCTGCATTGTTATAAGTGTTTATTAGCATCTTACAGTTAGTTTGTCTAATATTATGGTTGGATTTGTATTTTTTGTATATGGCATTTTCTACGACTGTTTTATTTGTCTGCCGTTGTCTTAATTGTCATTTAATTTTATAGTTTAATCGCTAATGCGTTAATTGTATTGGATTTTTCTTCTCCTCCTCCATGGGACACCGCCTTAAAGTAGCTCTGTCCGTGCGGGCGAGGATGTTTGCGTACTTCGATGAAGCTGAGGGTTATGACAGTGGTAGCATTGCTAGTAGGCTAGTGCCGCTACCAGTAGGGTCACCCATGTTGTACAGACCTCGGTGGAGGAGACAGACGAAGGGTGTTCCACAACGCCCTTCTCTAACTTGTCCATATCTTATCCTGTTACCCATATTTGACATATATCCATTACCTTAGAATTTACCCCCCCACAATTCACACTGGTGTATCGTGAGGTCCTTTCCAATAGGGTGGCATTGCTTCTACTTACTCGCGCCACACTTCTTTTATACTTTCTATCTCTCTTGATATCCTGTTTGTTTCGGCCCCGAAGAGATTAGGTTGCGAAAGCCTAGGGAGCCTTTCATTTTTCCATCTTTTTTCTTTTACTATCATGTGTCCTTTTCCTTGTTTGTCAACGGGGGGAGAGGCTTCGTTAAGCCGCGGTGATGGCCACCTCTCTACGGCAAGGGAAGCCGGAAGATAAGTCCCCGGGTCCTCCAGGTTGGGGGTTAAGCGTATGGGCCAGCAACCCTACCTCATAGAAACCGAAACGCTACGTTAGCTGGAATAAATACAGCCTCGGAAACCATAAATGGACATCGACAATGGCTACGAAGACGGACTTTTTCTTTTGGAACATGGAATGTGCAGAGCCTTTCCGGGAAACTGGAGGACATTGTTGAGGAAATTAAAGATAAGGGATTGGAAGTGGTTGTTCTTGCGGAAACGAAAAAGAAGGGAAAGGACAAGAGGAAATTAAGTGATATTTACATCTATGGAGCGGAGTAGAAAAGGGAGAGAGAGCAAGGGCAGGAGTCTCTTTTTTAGTAAAGAAGAAGTGGAAAAATAGGATTCCAAACTGGGAAGCGATAAATGAAAGATTAATAAGAATAAAAATTAAAATATGTGGAATTACCCTTGTAGTTATTGGAGTATATGCCCCTACAGATGACTCCCTAACTATGAAGGTTGAATTTTTTGAAGATCTAATAGAGGTGATGGATAGTGTCTCTATAACAGATGAACTTATAATTATGGGAGATCTAAATGGGCGCATTGGAAATGAAGAAGATGGGGTAATGGGTAAATGGGGAGAAACGATGATAAATGACAATGGAAAGCGATTAATAAA